AAAGACGCTACATTAAGTGCTTCTCTAGAAACTCATGTTCGGTCCAAAACATGCATCTCGGACACTGATGTCACTCCTTGTATCACCAGAATCCTTCCGGTCAACCGGCCCCAGGATCCCAGGGTGCCTGATAAATTGTAGCGGTGGACCATGGCCAGCAAGTTCTCAACACTAACGACGTTGTCCTGACAGCTGGACGGCTGGTGTTTTTCAGAACCGAAGCGACGTTTCCCAGTAAGTCTCCATGCTGGTTACTCAACGCTGGTCATAGCGCACTCGCTTGAAGGCAAAGTCCGCAATTATTCGCAATCGTAGATAGTGGCTTAGATAGTGAAGAAAAAAGAAAAAAACATGCCATCTGCCCTAGAAGAAACCATTTTCCTTCCCAGTTTGTACGTGCCCAATCAAGTCCATCTCCAACAGTACGCCCCCATCCGCCTAGCTGATTCCCGATAAGAGCTCAACCTTAAAAGTGATGATTTTCATGCTTTTTCGTCCTGCAGCTTCGTTTTTTCACTGAAAGGCGGGCTCTGAAAGTGTAGTCACCGGAAAAAGGGAGGCTCACCGAACCTGTATTGCGCTATAGCGTTCTTTCCTTATTTTTTTTTGCCACAAGTGCTACTGTCGCGAGCCCCACTACCCTCCCGAGGCCATCTTCTCAACTTCTATTCATGATCGCGGTCCGTCCCTTTAGGGCTGACGCAGACACTGTGGGTTTCCTTGAGCACAACAGTTATGGTGGGTGGTTTCTCAAGACTGTAGAAAGCAAAACGGTAGAATCGAGGCAGGTCCCACGCTTTCCCTTTTTTTGAGAAACATTTCATCAGTATCCTTCCTCGTTTCCATTTTATTTTACGATCTTCGATGTCCCTAGTCGCTCTCTGCCACAATTACGCCCCCCCCCCCTATGAGCAGTTATCATAAATTCGTGTGGGCACTTTTCAACTTTTTCATCTCTTTCTACACTTCTAAACCAACATTTGAAGGCCCATTGTTTTCCAGGATAAAACCGCATGCGTCATATTCGTCATAGGTGAAGGCTATCACTCCGGCTCAGTCCAGGATGAGTTGCGAAAACGCAACGATATTCTGCAACTTAACGTTCCCGATTCATATTCTAACCTAGTTTATAAGGTAACTTTTCTTCTGCAATTTTTTTCTTCTCTAATCACTCCTATAATTCCCTCCGCGTGTTTTCCAACATATTCTTTAACTATTTCCAACTTCTATTCATTTCCTCTTTCTCCAGCAACAAAGTCCAGACAGTTCATTTTCTTGTTTCTCTTGTTTCAAGCCAACAATAGTTTTCTTTGTAGTGGGGGAACTATATCTGCTAATACTCTATTTAAATTCTCGTTTACTCATTCCTTTAGAAAGGGATGGCAGCAGCGCTCCTCTCCAGTGTTTTATTTTTCTTTCCGCGCAGCGCAAGAGCGCGTATCATTCGTTCGCACGACCAGCGGCCAAGATCAGTGTCATATCTGTTCCGCACCATCGTTTTCTACCAGTTGCCTCCAACTAAACTGTGGAGAGTGTGCTGGCACCAAACCGGGCTCACTGACACGCCCCCTCATCCGGAGCGATTAAGACTAGGAAGTCCCTTGCATAGGGCGCGATGCTCACAGCTAAAATGTGCCACATTCATCACGTAAAAGTGCGCGACAAAGATGTCACCGAGCAGTTGTGTGGTGAGCCCTCCACATGGCATAATATCGTCACCCACTTCACAATACTTGTTTTTACGAAACACATTCTGATTTTCAAGGTCCTTTGTCTTTGACTGCAGCACTACACTGGACTTACGGCAGCGTTAATTAAATCATGCATGATTGAGAGCACATATTGTGATTCTGATATAGTTTTCCATAGGCAAATATTTAGGTTGTCGCTGCATCCCGTTGGATTGCAGCCAACTATCCGGACAAATTTGTGCTCAAAATGGATCTGGACAGTGTAGTTATTCTTGACAAGGTTGTGATATAGTCTTTGAATCAACAGGCCTGTGTTCATACTACGCCACTGAAGCAGTTAGGCAGCGTTCAGACTTCGCGACGGCGCGTTTTACGCGATCGGTGCAGTTGAAAGCATACGCATCGATCACGTCGAACGCGCGACCGAAGCAACACAAGCTCAGTCCGCGCCTAGAAGGGGCTTAAAGAAATTCCCATTTGAAGTGATTCCCAGTTGCGCATTTGCCAGCGCCTGCAACGCGCCCACTCTCGCTAGGAACATGTCTTATCGAAAGTCTCGACCATTTACCAATTAAGTGTTGAAGATGAAACGTTGAAACCTCTCAGCCGGCCACCTGTCTGATCGCTTTTTCATCCTACTCATAGCACTTGTCTGAAGGGCCTATCGGCTTATCTGGGAGTCTTACTGGGCGCAGTTCGGCGACAGAGGAGCATTTAAAAAATCCGGTTTACAAGTCTAAGTGGTTAAACCTGTGAACACTTTGAAGCTAGAGCGAGCTCGTCGAGCTACCAAGGCAAAACGTCAACTCGAAGCTTATGAAATAGCGGTCCAGATGGGTCGGCTTGTCGATGGGAAGTAGCAGAAGTACAAAATGCCCCCCCCCCTCCGTCGCCGAACTGCCCTCTCATTGTGATATTTGCAGGTGATACCTCTTCTTGAAAAGCCAACCAAGAAATTCATGCTGTGCTATGTACTTGAAAAAGTTCAGCCAAGTCGCGATATTCAAAGCCCCTGGTCGGATTTCAGTTCCTTTCAAATAATTAAGGTTCACGAACAGAACTAGAAGCTACTCAACAGCGGCTCAAGAAATAAGCCGCATTCATTTGAATCGTGAACGGATTTTTCTCCGTCCGCTGTTCGATTTTCTTCTTCTCGTTCAAGTTTTGGTGGTCCGCTCCGAACCAGAACCTTATTCCTTTCCTTATTCTAATAATACTTCACTGCTTAGTGCTCATTATTTGCATACAGCACCAAAAATTTATCAGTCATTTTTTCTACCATACTTTCTCAGGTACATTCCCGAGTCATCGTATTCCGGAAAATATCTGCCTCGCTACTGTAATGGTCCAACATATTTGATAAGTCCTGCAGCCTTATCAGCACTCATGCAAGCCACCAAGAAGGCTGAGGTTATAGCTTTGCAAATTCTGTTATGACGTGTTTTTGGACTCTATTTACCGTTCTCTCATTCTCTTCTGGGCGCTAATAACATTGAGGTGGCCACACCTGTGAGCATTTTCAGGCGCTGTTTAGCGACGGGGGGGGGCATTTTGTACTAACATTGCTTCCCTAGTTCCGGTTTACGAATCTCACCATGGTAAAACTTGTGAACGCTAGATGGGTCGGCACATCTATAAAAAGCCGAATGCCCCCCCGTCGACAAACTGCGCCCATTTCCAATATGTCTATTTGCCTTTGCTTTTTCTTTTCTCTTTTCACAACCGTGTCTCACACTGCAAGTCCTGTAAATTCCTGTCAACAACCCTGTGAAATCCTGAAGGCAGGAGTTTACAGAGTGCTTGACCTGGTAACAGGGCTTGGCAAGGTTGTCCGGTATGGACATTTATGCACCTCACAGGATTTTGGGGGAGAAGGGCACAAGAGAATCGTAATTTGCCGCTCCGCCGCGCGCGGCGTGGGCGCGACAGTTTCTTAACTGGACTCAACCTGTCAATTGGAGTACCGAACTTCATGTATACCCCGTTATTGTAGACTTATTGACTATTTGCGGTTCTGAACTGCTTGTTGTCGCCGTCCCCTTCCTGGAACCACCGTCATTTGCGGACGTCGCGCGCGACGTCCACCAACGCGGCGAATTGCGATTCTCTTGTCACTACCCCAGGATTTGGTATGCTGACAAGCGGACAGGTTTGACCCATCTCTAGGTTACAAGCGCTCACTTCTTTCTCTATGTCATTCAGCTAGGGGGTAGCAATATAGGCCTTCCCTACGACGGGCGTAGTACGGCGCAGAAATCGCAGATCAAGGCTTGTTCACGCCAAGCAAGCCTCTCATGTCTGCGGAGTTGACTAGTTGGCATAAGACTCGTATGGGAGCATGAAAGACTGATTTTTACATCAAAAAAGCTCCTTCAGGCCACTGTAATGCGGCCCACGTTCACATATAATTACGATTTCGAACTTGAGGAAGAATGTGTAGTGCATCACTGCAGCGCTTGATCGATGCCGAACACCCCGTTCGGTTTTCTAAAGCGCAGGACGCGCTGTAATATAATCCCTTTGCTCTGTGTTATCCACATCATAACTTTTGCCCTGTTTTCCTTTCACCTCATTCGGATTGGAATATATTGCAGGTTTTCGAAGTCGAAGATGCCTTCTTCACAGGTGCATTGGCAGCGTTGGCTAATGTACAGATACGAGAGCAAACAGGGATTTGGAATCGAGTGGTAAGGTTCATCTGCAAGGCTTGAATTTCTCACTGAAGATGAACCCTGCAGTACCAAAAGGCGATGAAAACATTTATCACAGCTTATTCAGCCCAGGACTTTCTTCTGTTGCCTAGCAGTAACAGAGCAGTAGCAGATGAGAGTCATCACGGCAAGGATTCTGCTACCATTCGTTACCATTCAGGATCGTTATAGATTTTAAATGCAATGCTCAATGATTACTTTGTCTGGTACTAATTAACCATCTCCGGAAAGAAGGAAGCTTGGTCGATCTTGGCCGTAACCGAACCACTTGGCCCACTGGACCACTGGCGTGATAAGTGTGCCACTTGCCACTACACCACCTCCGCCTCGCAATAAATTAACATGGTTTCAACAGGTTACTACAGTATGGGGTTCCCCGGCTGGGAGAGTACTGTATAAAGGAAGTTATACAACGTTTTGGGGAGGATTCGCCGATTTGGAGGTGGGAAGTAGGGTTCGGACTACCGGGGACATGAAGGGCAGGGGGTAAATATAGGGGACGGTCAATCATACGGGTTGGGTGGCAGGAGTAA